GGAATTTTGGGATTTTTAGAATTTTTGGATTTTTGGAATTTTTCGGAATTTTTGGATTTCCGGAATTTTCGGAATTTTTGGTTTTTTGGAATTTTCGGAATTTTCGGAATTTTACGGAATTTTTTGGATTTTTCGGAATTTCCGAATTCCGGGAATTTCCGGAATTTTCAAATATTCCGTTCCGCCCATCTCTAGGGTAGAAGGTAGAGGATAACTGTCTCGGCACATGGTGCATCGATCAGATTGCAGCTAGGCAAGTTGCCGGAAGAAAAACGGCAGTTTGGCCTTAAGCTAGGATTACTGCAAACCCTTCACCGCAACATGGTGCATCGTCCAAAGAAAATGCTTATAGGACTGAACATAACTCAGTTTTTGTTTTTTTTAACTTTCTGATTTTTCGGAATTCTGGAATTTTCCGGAAATTTTCGGAATTTTCTCGGAAAGTATTATTTAGTATTTTCTGATAAATTTCAACTCTTTTCAAAGCATGAAAGTTCACTTTTCCATTAAAAAATCGCTGAGTGTCGTCAATTAAAATGCCAGGTCCGCAAGCGCGTGTTTGCAGACAATTCTACAAAAAAAAAAGACTACCGTACCCCTTTCGGCCTCCTTTAAAGGCGCAAGCCTCAATTTTCAGAGTTTTCGGAATTTTCAGAATTTTCGGAATTGTTTTCCCGGAATTTCGAATTATATAATTTCCTATCCTCCCTGCCTTTTCCGCCTTGTTTTTTACACCATTTCAACATTCGTCAATACATTTATATATAAAAGAGAATAGAGACAATACTGATTAGGAAACCGCCCATTCTTTCTCTCGGGAAGAAGAAGCTTCTCCTTCTTTTCTGACGATTTTCTTTTCATTTGACCCCATTAGCCACCCATCTTCTCCTTATCAACTATATCTTTTTTCGGTGTCCACCAGTTCACTTTTCACTTCATCTTCTTCCATCACCATCCGATGCGGATCTTTATCCTAATCGCCTTTTGGGGTGGTTTACTTGGAATTTTTGTCACGCCGACGGCGGTTGGGGTGAAGAAGAATTGTAAGCGGGCAAAGGTAATTTTTTGTATTTCGGAATTTCGAAAAACCGCTTGGATTTTTGAAATCAGCATGAAAAATGCGTAGATTTGAGTATAAACAAGGCCTAGTTCCGAAAAATTTTGATGTTTCGATTTAAAGGCGCATGGCTCCCCCCTCCCCCCAGGACTAGAGTATCTCGGTCAATTTTGCTCGAATCTCAATGAAAATGGTACCATTGGAATCAGCACGTCGAGACGGTTCAGAAAAGTATGATCATGACTATTTTTTAAAAATTTCTAAATTTTGGGTCTCGCCACGAAAACAAAAAAAGTACTGTAACTCGGTTAGTTTTGAAGAGAATGTTTTGAAATCGGTACCATTAGGTTTAGCGCGCCAAGACGGTCCAGAAAAGTATAAACAAAGGGTAGTTTGGGAAATTTTCATTGTTTCGTGGCGAGACCCTCAACACCGAAAAAATGAAAAATTTCAAAACCATACCTTGTTCATACTTTCCTGAACCGTCTTGATCTCCTGATTCCAATGGTTTCAATTTTATTGATCCGGGTGCAAAATTGACCGAGTTACAGTAGTTTTAGTGTTTTCGTGGTGGGACCCAAAAATCCCAAATTTTCAAAACACAGTCTTGTTTGTACTTTTCTGAACCGGCTCAATCCCTTGGTTCTAATGATTTCGAAATTTTTCGAATCGCACTGAAGCTAAGCGATTTAAGATGGTTTTTGTGTTTCCGTGGTGGGACCCAAAAATCCAAAATTATCGCGGCCAATTTTGCTCCAAAATGAATTTAGTTTCGATTTTTGAAATCAGCATGAAAAATGCGTCGATTTGAGTATAAACAAGGCCTAGTTTCCAAAATTTTGAGTTTTTCGGTTCCGTCGATTTTGCTCCAATCAAAATTCTGACTAGAAATTTGAAATCAGCATGAAAAACGCGCTGATTTGAGTATAAACAAAGCATACTTCTAATAAAAAAAACCAATTTTTCCAGGCCTTCGCTGTAGGAACCCAAAGTGGAAATGGAATTGACGCCGTCGACTTTGAGGACCGAACCCTCCGAAAACCAGTCCAAAAAGTGTATTTCTGGCCGAGTCTCACCGATTTCGAGAAGAACGTCCTTCGTGACGCCTTCAATCAAATCGGAAGACGTACCTGTGTGAAATTCGAGGAGCAAGAGTACAAGCCATGGTACCATGCGGATCGATGGGACTCCAATTCCCCGCACGTTTTGATTCGGAAATCCGGAAAATTCGCCGCTTATTCGGATGCAGTTGTGGAGGGTCTAGTGGATAGAACCATTTTGTATGTGGCTCAGTCGTCGTTTGAAACTAGCAATTTCAATAATTCTCGAGGAATGGTGATGGATCAGTTGGTCAGGTTTATGGGTCTGCAAAGGGAGTTGTATCGACCGGATGCTGTTTCTTATGTACAGGCTATTGAGTAAGTTATCCTTCTGTGTATCTCCGTTGCCATTGGAAATTTTAAAAAGTAATCAATTAGAGAAATGTTTAGGAGGATTTTTTAAACATTTTTTTAGTTAAGCACTTTTTGCTAGCTGTAAAGACAATTGAGATATACTGCTTTAAACCTGGGTACTGGATACAGTACTGCGGGTTTTTCAGTACTACATGTTCAGAGCAGTTTATCTTGGTGGTTTTCTGAAATTTCAAAAAGTGGTCAACTAAAAAAATGTTCACCAATGAATGTTGAACATTTTGTTAATTGAGCACTTTTTGATAACGTTCATGACAACTGAGATATACTGCTCTGAACAAAAAGTACTTTATGAGGAGCTGCGGTATATCCAGTACTGCACGTTTGTAGCTGCATATCTCAGCTGTCTTTAGAGTTATCAAAATGTGGTCAACTAACAAAATGTTAAAAAGAATATTTTAAACACTTTATTGATAGCTCTTAAGGCAACTGAGATATCCTGCTCTGAACATAGAGTGCTGGATGCGGTACTGCGGTATATGCAGTACTGCATGTTCAGAGCAGTATATCTCGGTTGTCTTTACAGCTATCAAAATATGATCAACTGCACAATTGTTTATCAATACATTTCAAACATTTTATCAGTTGACCACTTTTTGATAGCTCTGAAGACAACCGAGATATGCTGCTTCGAAGAAAGCGCCGTAGTGGCCTAGGATTCTCCACGGTCAAGCAGTTACTGTTACTGTAGCTAACTATGATAGGAACCAGGGCTGTGCGAAAAAAAATTCCGAAAATAAATATTTTTCGAAAATTTCGGACCTTCTCGAATTTTTCAGGGTGAAAAAAAAAATAAAAAGGATTCTTGGGATTTATCGATTTTTTTTCGAAAATTTTCGATTTTTTGTGGTGAGAAATGGAGAAAAACCGGTTTTTTCGAAATTTTTTTCGGCTTTTTGGACGAAAATTTTTCGCCCAGCCCTGATAAGAACAAAAATTCAACATATTCAAACTTCCAGCGGTGGGATCCCAAACCTCGGCACCCCTGACTACAACCCCATCCAACTCACCTGGCCATTCGACCCCGAAAGTATTACCGTACCCCTTTGGGCACGCGAAAAATTCCGTCTCACCCCATATTGCCCGGCAAGAAATGATGCGGACATTGGAGCCGGTCAACGAGTGGGACTCCTCACCAAATGGGACACTGTCAAACTGAATAGTATGTATTGCCCGGATAAGATAGTGGATGCAGATCCATCAAGGGGGCCATGTGTTGTCCCGAGAGCCAAGGACTTGGACAGTTTCAAGAAAAGACTATGGGCCTATAAGAGGCTATTGGCAAAAAACACAAAGAGACGGAAGGCCAAGGCCCGGAAGGCCAGGGCCAAGGTGGTGAAGAAGCACAAGACGGTTTAGATGATCTCGGATATGATATTTTTTGATTTTTTTTCATTTTTTTTTTGATTTTTTTTCCATATTTTTTTGATTTTTTTGGCTGTAAATATCAGATTTTTATTTTATTGTGTGCACAAATAATTTATGAATAAAAAATCCATTTTTATCACATTTCAGACAGTCAGTTTCAGTTAGTCTAGAGGGGAGGGAAAAAGACAAAAAGAAAGTGCGCTCTATTGATAAAAAAACAAAAAAAATTGCCACCACCCGGAGTTGAACCCGCGGCCTTCTGGGTATTCTCGAAATTCTGAAAATTCCGAAAATTCCGAAAATTTCAAAAATTCTGAAAATTCTGAAAAATCTGAAAATTCCGGGAATCCTGAAAATTCCGAAAATTCCAAAAATTCCGAAAAATCCAGAAATCACGGAAATCCAAATATTCCGAAAATTCCGGAAATTCCGAAAATTCCGAAATTCTGAAAATTCCGGAAATTCAGAAAATTCCGAAGATTCACGAATTCCGAAAATTCCAGAAATTCCGGAAATTCAAAAATTCCAAAAATTCTGGAAATTTCGAAAATTCTGGAAATTCCGAAAATTCCGAAAATTCCGGAAATTCAAAAAAATCTGAAATTCCAAAAATTCCGAAAATTCCAAAAATTCTGAAAATTCTGAAAATTCCAAAAAATTCGAAAATTCCGAAAATTCGAAAATTCCGAAAATTTCGAAAATTTCGAAATTTCCGAAAGTCCCGAAAATTCCAAAAATTCCGGAAATTCCGGAAAATCCGGGAATCCGAAAAAATCTGAAAATTCCGAAAAATCTGAAAATTCCGGAAAATCCGAAAAATCTGAAAATTCCAAAAATTCCAAAAACTCCAAAAATTCCGAAAATTCCAGAAATTCCGAAAATTCAGAAAATTCTGAAAATCCAAAAATTTCCAAAATCCCGAAATTTCCAAAAATTCCGGAAAGTTCAAGCCTGGGCAAAAAAAAATTTGAAAAAAAATTTATGAATAAAAAAAAACCAAATTTATCACATTTTGGACAGTTTCAGTTAGTCTAGAGGGGAAGGGAAAAGACAAAAAGCAAGTGTGTTCCATAGAACGAAAAAAATAGAGAAAAAAAAACGATTTGCCACCACCCGGAATTGAACCCGCGGCCTTCTGGGTGGAAGGCAAAAGCATTACCTGTTGGCCAGCGGGCACCACGTGGGGAAGCGGTGGCGAGGGCGTAGAAGAGAGAGAAGGAAAGGAGGGGGGGGGGGGGGGGGGGGAGGACAGACGGACCACACCTAGCATTGGAGCGCACTTGCCTAATTAGACGGCTATCAATTTCAAACAAAGGGTGGGAGGAGTCAAAACCCGTCAGCTCAAAAAGTAGGTCAAAAACAATTAGAGCATCACAGAATGAGTGTTAGCGTTTGAGCACCGGGTCCGCAGAGGCTCCAGCTCACTTTGCCGTCGATTGACACTCCCGTTGTTATCATTGGTACGAAGAACCGGGAAGATTCGCCACAGGAATTTTTGGAACACGAATTGATGGATTTCAGGGATTCTGGAAATTTCAGAAATAGCTCAATGGTCCTGAAAGGTCTCCTACCTGGTCGCATAAATGATCGGATTGAACAGGGTCTTTCCCATGATACTGACCAACACCACAATCGACATAATAGTGATTGAGACACTTTGCTTTTTGAATAATGGCATATCCTCAGCGGTCAAGATGTACATAACACTGGCGGGCATCCAACCGATCAGGAAGGTTCCGAAGATGAGGACGGCGGTGACAACGGTACGGCGACCACGAGCAGAGGCTCCCGGAGCCGGGTTGGTGGCGGCCGTTTTGTTGCGGACCTGCAAAATTTTCGGAATTTTCGGAATTATAGGAATTTCTGGAATTTTCGGAATTTTCGGAATTTTTGGAATTTTTGGAATTTCTGGAATTTTGGATTTCCGGAATTTTCGAAATTTTCGAAAAATTTGGATTTTCGGAATTTTTGGATTTTTCGGAATTTTCATAGTTTTCGGAATTTTCTGGAATTTTTGGATTTTTCGGATTTTTTGGAATTTTTGGAATTTTTGGATTTCCAGAATTTTAGGAATTTTCGGAAATTTCGGAATTTCTGGAATTTTCGGATTTCCGGAATTTTCTGAATTTCGGATTTCCGGAATTTTCAGAATTTTTGGAATTTTCAGAATTTTCGGAATTTTCAGGATTTTAATAATTTTCGAAATTTTCGGAATTTTCTGGAATTTCCGGAAATTTTCGGAATTTTTAGAATTTTCTGATTTTCTGATGTTTTTGGATTTTTGGATTTTTTGAAATTTTTGGGATTTCCGGAATTTTCGGAATTTTTGGAATTTCCGGGATTTTTGGATTTTCCTGATTTTCGGAACTTTTGGAATTTTCGGGTTTCCGGAAATTGCGGAATTTTTGGAATTTTCGGAATTTTTTCGAATTTTCGAAATTTTTCGGAAATTACGGAATTTTTGGATTTCAGGATTTTTCGGAATTTTTGGAAATTTCGGAATTTTCGGAATTTTTGGAATTTTTCGATTTTTCGAAATTCCGTACCGCCCAACTCTGGGGTAGAGGGTAGAGGCTAGAGGTCCCGCAACATGGTGCATCGACCAGATTGCTGTTAGGCAAGTTGCCAAAAGAAACGGCAGGTTGCCCTTTGTCACTTACCTCTGTAATTTTCTGAAGCATTGCAATGTAGAAAATTGTCGTGGTGATGATCAGAATGACGATGATAAGAGAGATGGCGGCACGGAAGAAGAAGTTCTCGTAGAACGCGATTCCCATGCATTTCTCGTTTCTAAAAACTTAAGATTAGGGCCCATACCTCAAAAAAAACTAACTGAAAAAAACTCACTGATATCCCTGTCCCTGCCAGCTGGCAAAATAGATCATCAAGGCGATTGGTGGGGTGGCCCACATGAACAGCATCATCAAGTGAATGGTACGGAGTGGGAGGACTTTGTGATGGTCGAATGGTCGTTTGATGGTCATGTAATGGGTGAAAGCCAAGGCGACAAGATGGAAGATACCGGTCAGGAGACCGCCGGTGCGGAAAGCCTGAAGGATAAGTTGGTTCATGTTTCCGTAGAAATTTGGAAAATTCTGAAAATTCTGAAAATTCCGAAAATTCTAGAAATTCCGAAAATTAAGAAAATTCTGGAAAATACAGAAAATTCCAGAAAAATCCAGAAAATTCCGGAAAATTCTGAAAATTCAGAAAATTCAGAAAATTTTGAAAATCCCGAAAATTCTGAAAATCCCGAAAACTCTGAAAATTCTGGAAATTTTTTTTTCGGAATTTCCGAAAAATCAAAAAATTCCAAAAATTCCGAAAAATCCAAAGACCCAAAAATTATGAAAAAAAAGACAATCCCGGAAATTCCGGAAAATCTCGAAAATTCCGAAAATCTCGAAAATTCCGAAAATTCTGAAAATCCCGAAAACTCTGAAAATTCTGGAAATTTTTTTTTTCGGAATTTCCGAAAAATCAAAAAATTCCAAAAATTCCGAAAAATCCAAAGACCCAAAAATTAGGAAAAAAAAGACAATCCCGGAAATTCCGGAAAATCTCGAAAATTCCGAAAATCTCGAAAATTCCGAAAATTCTGAAAATCCCGAAAACTCTGAAAATTCTGGAAATTTTTTTTTTCGGAATTTCCGAAAAATCAAAAAATTCCAAAAATTCCGAAAAATCCAAAGACCCAAAAATTAGGAAAAAAAAAGACAATCCCGGAAATTCCGGAAAATCTCGAAAATTCCGAAAATTTCGAAAATTCCGAAAATTCCGGAAATCCCGAAAATTCCGGAAATCCCGAAAATGCCGGAAATTCCGGAAGATTCCAGAATATTCTGAAAATTCCGAAAATTCTGAAAATTCCGAAAATTCTGGAAACTTCTGGAAAAATTCCAAAAATTTCGAAAATTCCGAAAATTCAGAAAATTCCGAAAATTCAGGAAATTCTGAAAACTCCGAAAATTCTGAAAGTTCCGGAAATTTCTAAAATTCTGAAAATTCTGAAAATTCCGAAAAGGGGCTTGCTTTTACCGAAAAAAATTTCTAAATTTCCGTTTTCTGGAAAATTTTTTTTTGGAAAAAATTTCGGAATTTTCATTTTTCTGAAAAATTTTTCCGGAATTTCCGTTTTCCGAAAAAATAATTTCCGAAAAAAATATTCGGAAATTCCGAACTCCGGACAATTTTCTCAAAAAAAAAATCAAAACAATTTCGGAAAAAATTTCGAAATATTCCGTTTCCTTAAAAATTTTTCGGAAATATTTTTTCCGAAATTTTTTTTTCCTCGCAAGCCCTGTCCGTACCCTAAGGCCCGTACCCCTGACCCCCAGGGGCCCTTCCCCTATTTTGTATTCGTTTCTCAACCCACTCATTCAACAACTTTTGAACTTTTGCCAAACCAATTAAACTTGTAAATTTGCATTCAACCGTGGTGCACACACCAAGAAAACATCTCTTTTTTTCTCAAACATCATTCTCTAGATGCTCATCATCAGAAGAAGTAAAAGAACTACAAAAGAGACACGTCACCCCTTCTCTTCGGAATGAAACAAATTGGACACAAGAAACGCATTGTTGCGTTTTATTTGATGAAAAAACTGACAGAGCACTCAAGAAAACCTATCAAATTAGGTTAGGGTATAGTCCAGTGAACATGGGGAAAGGGATCTAGTTCTCAGAAACATTAACTGGAAAAGAGCAGAATGGTCAAATGAGCAACCAGTTACCTTAAAGGCGCAGCACCCCAAGTACAGTAATCTCACTTATTTTTTTTGGAATTTCAGGATTTTCAGAATTTTCGGAATTTCCAGAATTTTCGGAATTTTCGGATTTTCGGAATTTTTAGAGTTTTCAGAATTTTCAGAATTTTCGGAATTTTCGGATTTTCGGAATTTTTAGAGTTTTCAGAATTTTCAGAATTTTTGGAATTTTCGGAATTTCGGAATTCCGTTCCGCCCACCTCTGGGGTAAAGGGTAGATGGTAGAGGTGCCGCAACATGGTGCAAAGACCAGATTGCAGCTAGGCAAGTTGCCTGAAGAAACGGCAGTTTGCCGCAGCTACGTTCACTATAAACCACTTGCTAGAATAAGGAATAGAGGTTTTTAGGTATTTTCAGAATTTTCGAAATTTTCAGAATTTTTGGATTATTTGGATTTCTGGAATTTTCGGGATTCTTGGAACTTTTGGAATTTTTCCGGAATTTTTGGAATTTTCAGAATTTCCAGAATTTTCGAAATTTTCAGTATTTTTGGAAAGTATTTTCTGATAAATTTCAACTCTTTTCAAAGCATGAAAGTTCACATTTCCATTAAAAAATCGCCAAAAAAGCCGATTCTTCAAATATATTCTTCAAATATTCTACGAAATGTTGACTACCGTACCCCTTTCGGCCTCCTTTAAAGGCGCAAACCTCAATTTTCGGAATTTTTGGATTTTCAGAATTTCTGCGATTTTCGGAATTTTCGGATTTTTCGGAATTTTAGGAATTTTCGGGATTTTCAGAATTTTAAGAATTTTCAGAATTTTCACCAAATACCGTAACCTTACCTCCAAAGTCAACGGGAAACAATAGGATCCATGGGGGATTTGCAGTACCACTGGCTTGTAGCTATTCCAGAACAACGACACACCGATCACAATGCTTGTCCAGGTGTCCGATAGAGCCAGGGAGTAGGTTAACTCCAGAGAAGCCGAACGGATTTTCACGTAGAACCGAGAGATAAACACCATGATGTTGAGGAAGGCGGCGATGACGCAGAAGATCATGATAGTGGGGATGCAGATCTCATAGAGAAAGTACTTGATGGTGTCCATCTGGAAAAGTTGAAAATGGTAGAGGATAGAGGACCAGAACAAAAAATGACGGAGAAAACGAGGAAAGTGGGACATGGTGCATTGACCAGATTGCCGTTGGGCAAGTTGCCCGAAAAAGAGGCAGTTTGTCCATCTGGAAATAGGGATGGGTTGGTCGGAAATGGTAGAGGGTAGAGAATGAACGAGGAAAAGTGGAAGATTAGGCATGAATTACTGTCCCGCAACATGGTGCAGAGACTAGATTGCCACTAGGCAAGTTGCCAGAAGAAAGGGCAGTTTGCCGGAGCTAGGTTCACTGTACTATCCCTGCTAGAATGTGGTGCATTGGATAGAGTTTCTAGGACTGAAAAGCAAA